AAAATCCAACAATGCAGGAAGATTCTCTCGTCTCAGATTCGCCTTCTGATATCACGTTGTCACACGTTGGCGGTGCTGAACTGGTGTCCGCTCAGCCGGCGTGTCATCTTACAAAAGCGATCAGCACGCGACAACTGGTGCCAAAAATCCAACAATGCAGGAAGATGCTCTCGTCTCAGATTCGCCTTCTGATATCACGTTGTCACACGTTGGCGGTGCTGAACTGGTGTCCGCTCAGCCGGCGTGTCATCTTACAAAAGCGATCATCACGCGACAACTGGTGCCAACACTCCAACAATGCAGGTCTCCTGCATGCAAGATTCTCTCTTCTCAGATTCGCCTTCTGATATCACATTGTCACACGATGGCAGTGCTGAACTGGTGTCCGCTCAGCCCCGGTGTCATCTTACAAAAGCGATCATCACGCGACAACCGGTGCCAACCATCCAACAATGCAGGTCTCCTCCATGCCAGATTCTCTCGTCTTAGAGGTGCTGAACAGGTATCTGCTGAGCCCGTGTCTTCTTACAAAAGCGATCATCACGGGGCAGCCACGTCTTTTCTGCAAAAAGCGTCGGCTAGCGCTACAGTCTATGCTGACTTAGAGAAGCAACCATCACACGATACGTGCCAAGAAGAGGCAACTGAAAGCTTGCAGCAGTCAGTGTTCCAGCCCGTCCAAAGCCCGAGCCTCTTCGTCCTCCTCCCGTTTCTGTTTCAGCCACTCTGCTTCCTCGGTGTCCATCGCAAGCTACCATCAGCCTTGTCTGAAGGCATAGGCAAGGCTGATTGGAGGATGCTTGGCCACCCCGCGGTTGGCCCGAGCAACGTCGTCGAGTCATACGCCACGTCCAAGTTTAACATGTCGGAGACGCCTGGAGACTGCAGCGAACGTGGCGCGAGCAGACAATGCTGCTGCAAGCACCAAAAGGCAAAACGACTTACGCTTCTGAGCTGAGCGCCGATGTTGCTTACCGGAGTCACCAAACAGCCTGCAAGCAACGGGCTCAAAATGCTGCATCAATGGTCTATCCCTCCCTTTACAGTAAGCAAGCGTGCCCAACACGCAGCTTGCCAGTACTTGTGTAACGCTCGTTTGCCACTACTGCTAGGTTGACGCGAGTCGTACCCAAGCCTCCGCAAACCGATCGCTTCGGTGAGTCCAGCACTGGAAAGATGGGAGTCTTGCTTTCCTGAAGCTCGGAGGTGGTTGCACAAGTGCTTACAAGTTTCCAAACCGGTCCTCTGGAATGTCAGAGTCCTCCTCTTCTTTACCAGTCTGGGCAAGCATAGCCTTTGTCACCGTGTCCTCTGCAGCAACGAAACTGGGTTGACAGTCCAGTGATGTACCATGATGTACCAACGCAGGTGCTTTGATGCTATGCATAGGTATGCAGGTCTACACATCTGGTAGGCATGCAGGAAGCACAATCTGCCGTTAGGTAGCTTCTAGGTTAGATGCTGCTGCAGACTGCTCGCGCCGCGTGCGTTTCGCTGCATGTCTGATAAATAATGACGGACTGAGGGGTTGACCGACTGACAACTACATGAAGATTGTGGCATCATGAACAGCGAACTGGTGTTGACAGCTGCGAGCGAATCTACAAGTGCATGTCCAAGAATGGGTTTGAACAGCGGGTGAGAATGCTCGCCAACGACGGTATGCGCATCTTGGCCCGCTCGACCTCTGAAAGCTCAGGAGAAAAACGCTGTGTGCTGCCTCTTAGTTCAGCTCGCGTGTTCGAGAACTATCACAGGGATCTTGGCGCGACGAGCCTCCCTCACATTGAGGTCATGACGATGCAACTTCTTTTCTCAACCAGAAGGTCATTGGAAGGACAGTATGCGACAATCTCACAGGCATCCTCGATGTCAAAGGCAATCTGCTCAAAGATGTTGGTAGGACATGCCTGCGGCTTCAGCTGGGCACTCTTGCTCACTTACCTGAGCTTAGCAGACTCTCTCGCGCATACGCCGAAAACCTGAAGCGCTAAGGATGCCTGCAACCCGAAGAGAAGTATTAGCAGCTCTCTGAGCGCCACATAGTCCTTTTAATCCGGGCGCGCTGCACGTGAACCAGCGAAGAAACTCTTGGAGCCAGCGACACAGCTCTACAACAACATCTTTTGGGGGGGCTTGTGCATCAGTTTACAAGCCTTCGCTGGGCTCCCGAAATCGGAGAACACTTGTCCAGGGCAGCGCAAGCCCTGCACAGGCCCCAGCCGGAGGCCGTCCCCGTGTCTGTGCGAAGCTTCGCTTATCAACTCGCTTTTCGATGGCTTGCACTCGACGGGCAGCCTTGCATCTACGGGTGGGATGCCAACTGACGGCTGGAGCTTTCCAAAATGCCTCCCATGTGCGATGAACGAGACCTTGCAGTGCAAACCCGGTCTAAACCTCCGCGACTTCCTCTGAGCCTTGCTGTACGACGGCAGCAAGGTTTCGAACCTCTCGGGTTGGGCCCGGTCCGTTGCCCCTCGAATGCTGGAGGCAGCGTAGCCTGAGGTCTTTGAACACAACGGCACCTTAAGGCCTTAAGGCTTTGGCGAGAGCGGCGATCCTCAGCCTCGGAGTGCCCTTCGGGATCCGGGCTGCTAAGTGAAACCGCCAGGGTCGTTCCCAATGGAAACTCGACCACTTGGTTTTCGCGAAATGTGGTGCTTCACGGCTGCACTTAGGGCAGCGCGCGAACTCTGGGGCAGCTCAAAGTTGCTGATTTTGCTGGATATCTGGACACAGTAGATTGTGTACATTAGCGTGTCAGCAGCAGAACAGGTGACAGAAGTGAACACGGCGACATGAGCACGGTTGCACACGAAGGGAGCGGATGTGGGAGGAAGTGGCCTGCTCAACACTTCGAGCTGCCCAACTCAATGGAAGCACTTTAGGATAAAATGTTCTTACATTCCCACACAACGACCTCCTGGTCAAGTGATGCGCGAGATATCACACACAGTCATGGCAGTGCGGTGTGGCTCTGATAAAACATTGAATCGAAGCACTTCTCCAATACGATAGCCATACTCATCGGTTCCCCAATTGTGGAGCTGGTCTCGCATCTGATCCAGAAGCTCAGAAAGCAAGACCGTCCAAACCTTCGTTTGGAAGGCCATGGACAGCTATGCTGAAGTTTCCTATGCAGAAGTTTCCTGAATCGGTGGAGCCTTGCAGTATAGGGACTGTATAGAAGCTACAATAAAAGCTGGCAGGTCTGCACCTTAGATGGGCACAGTGTCGGGCACTGGCGTCACTAGCTCGAGCCGCGGCAGCCCAGACACAAGCTGCTGAAAGTATGCTGGAGAACCGGAGACTTATCAAGGGATTGTCTGGCAATACGCATTGCCTAGCTCCCTGAATCCAAGGTCCGGGATAACTACCATCTTTTCAAGCAAAGCCATCCACGGTCGATAGCGAAATCTCCATGGCAAAAGACAAACACTGAATCAAGACCGGCACTTCGCGAGGGCCTGCATGCAAGGCTGACATTTCAAAGTATCAGCGCTCAACAGGGTCGTTGCTGTGGTGCCTCGACTCGACGTGTAGAAAACAGGGTGCCGCTCATGCGACAGTCTACCTTGCAGCATCAACTCTTCGAAGGGACTTACACAGCGCGAAAGAAACTCTCAAACCTTCGCGTCCATCAAGGGACGGGGCACAGCAAGGGCAATAACTACATGTTGTCAATCTTGATGCTGCACTCAAAGCTGTGCTCTCTGCGGCCTCCTGGGTTCGGCCGCGGCCGTGGAAAGGGCACTCAGTTTCGCACCTCCGCTGTCACAACTGGCTTGTCTGTATCCAACTGAGCAGGTGCGCAAGACTGTGGAAGCTTCGTGCTGTAGCAGGGGTTGCTTGGAACAAGGGACAGTCGTCAGAAAGTCATACCGTCATACCGGAAATGAGTTGAGCGGTACAGTGGACCGGGTTAGGCTGAACCTCGTCATTGACCAGGGCGACGTGGGGAAATGGTGTTGGCAGCAGGGGGCAGCTTCGGCAGTCACAGCGGTGGGGGGTCGCAGTTTCTTTCTATCCTTTTTCTTTCTATCCTTCGAGAAAATACAACTTCATGGCGGCCACCAGCCAACAAGGAACAGCTTCACTGCTTCCCTTCCCGGAAGAAAAGAACCACCCACATTGCATTCGCCTGGGACCCTCCACAGCGGAAGCAGCAGAGACCGCGCGGCCGTTCTGATGGAGCCTGCGCAGCGAGAGAACAAACGCACGAGACGTGCAAGACCTGAAATTCAGCCATGCTAACGCAGCTACCTCTCTCTGAACCCATTGCTCACACCTGCTCGTCGTCTGGTTGCTCCAGGGTATCGTATGGCAGCAGCTGCTCAAGCCTCAGGATCAAGGCGACGCCGGTCACGGAGAAGCGCGACGAAGCACATCTCAGATCATCTTAGCATCTCGCTCGCCGAGCTCTTTGCCCTGAAGCCACTCGAAGTCCCAATCCTGACAGAGGAAATTACCGAACATGGGAAATGCGCTGTTCGGGATCAGAACCAACCAGACTGGAAAATTGTACATCTGGCAGCAAAGGTATTCTGCAAGTTCATGCAACCGGGCCTGGATTGGGTTCCCTTCCTCTCGCTCAAGCTGCGCCTTGCCACAGACGCGTCTCTCGCGAGCGGGACAGCACAACCCCTTGCTGAGAACAGAACCCTCAGATTGGCGAACTGCTTCCTCAGCATCACGTAGTCGGGACGGTCCTCGAAATCATCTTGACTCTCGAGAACCTGAGGACCGCCCGTTCGGACGGGTCACCTTTGCTCCGAGTCCGTTAGTGATTGAGCCCACTAACTCTTTGCATCGGCGGTCCTTGAAGCCAAGATTTCTGGCATACTCCAAGTAAGCCTGGAATGCCTCTCTTTGTCCCAGACACCTCAGTAGCAGTGATGCGTCTGCGAGGCCACCAGCGTTTCGTTGTCTGTTCATCAATGCTCCACACACTCTTGTGACCCGTTCCCAGCAGACCGTAGTTCATTGCAGCACACACAGGAACAGATGCTCGGCAACTGGGAGCCAGGCAGATCCGAAAGCTCTGTACTCTCCTGTCGAAAGAGTCTCTTACACTGACATACCGCACGTGCCGTGCAACAATCTCTAGTAACAATCGGATCCTTCTTCTCCTTGATCTTTTGATATTTCTCCTGTGCAGAAAATTTCAACGGTCATGGACCAGGAAGGACCGCAAAGCCGGACGCGGCGACAGCCATGCAGCCTTCTTGGTTCGCGCTTCAAGGCCCGACCAAGGGAGTGAGGAGCGGAGGAAGTACAGCAGCATGTGCCCGATAGCCTCTCCAAAGCAACTTCGGGGTCGAGGTCTTCGAACTTGGGGCAACAGCCTCCAAGTCATCGCGACGACTTTGCTCGAAGCCACGATGGGCGTTCAAGGATGCATACCTGCAACCGAGCCCGACACAACACTCCGTCAATCGAGAGTGCCGCTTTCCTGCCTGGCTGTACCGGTGAGGCTCAGCTTCTGGGTGGACGGCACATGCTTCTTGTCCCAGTATCTGGCACATCCGGCACGCTGGAAACAAGTGGCACCTGGAGCATACAGGCCTCTTGCTTAAGCCGAAATCAATCAGGTAGAGGTGGTGCCTCAGGCGAGATGTTCTGCAGACGGAGTGAAGACAACGATAGATCTGCATTCTATGGATAACAGATTGCAGTGGAGACGGAGGCTAGCGGGCCCCAAGCACACCACGAGCTGTATCCGAGGTGCACTTTGTTGCCAACACCAAACATGAAGTTCTCCGGCTTGATATCCTGAGCTGGAGATCATGTTAGCAAGACTTCAGAAGTACCTAGCGCAATTGGGGGGCATTAGAACAAGTTCTTGGGCCGTAATGGGCCGTACAGGAGAAATGGGCGCAGGAGAACTGGCACAGCGACGGCGTCTTGAAGCACAAACACACCGCAGTTGACCTTAGCTAAATCAGCCAAGGCACTCTGTGCACCACTCCTGTGCGCAAACAATGCTTGTTAGGGCTCCGGAACATCCGTACTAGCCGCTCGATTCCCCCGGTTTACTTTGGAAGCAAAAACATTATCCCCTCGGACCCTGGGACCTCTGGAGTGGAGGTACTCGATTCGCATGAGCACCTGGTGATGCAGCCCGGCTCGCTCTAGTGCCCAACCCATGCGGCTCTTTCGCTTTTGTGTGTACATCTGCACTGCCCTGTCGTTCTCGGATGTCGTTCATCTATGCGGCTACTACATCTGTCCTTGTGTCAACCTACCCCACCTGCTGCGCGACCAGACATGCCGTCTTGGATGAAAACTTTCCGCCGCACCTCAGGTTGCTTGGTGAGTCTCAGATCTCCTCGCTTCACAAGCCCTTTGCTGCAAATTTGAATCAAGGCCGGGCAGCAACTGCACGTGATCTTCCAGACTTTTGCCCAAGAACTCCATGGCCAGGCAATTGAAATTGCCCTCAGAAAGCGCACCGCGCAAGAAACAAGCACAGAGCCGCCGATCCATCGCAGTACACTGGAGCATCTGCATCCATAGATCCCAGCCTCCTGGCCAAAAAAAAAGAACTTGGCAAAGCCCTGAGGTTGCGTAGGAAGCCGCAGCAAGTTCAGCATCTCACCCTGGCAAACTAACGCAGATTCCATGGCTGAGAGACGGCAAACCCAGCCGTGTCCAGTTGATCCAGCCTCATGCCGCAATTGGAGCGACTGGTTCTGCAATGCCTGCGAATTGAAAACCAAAGATTCTCCTACCTGTTTGACCATCCAAACCACGAAGCATGCTAGCGAACCTCGAACTTGATGGCTACATCCTCCTTGGTGCCGGTATGGAACCCCCTGTATACCTCGCGACAGGCAGGGGGCGGTGCTTTCAAGACAACGCAGTGCCCACATGCACGCACGATGCCTCACCAAAGCAGCCTGCACCCAGTTTCTTCTGGATCTGAATCCTGAAAAGGAATTTGTTCTTGCAGTTCGCACGTTCGAGGACATTGGCCAAGATAAGCCCTGCGCTGGCCATTGTTCAAGGACGGAGGCACTTTGGCTTTGCCAGAGGCCTTGGCAAAGCAGGGTCGGAACAAGACTTAGCTTTAAATACTTGGCCACGACCACTACCTTACACCATACTGTTCCCAGTCAAACCTGCATGAGAAACGTGCGCCTTGCTCTCCTACCCCGATTCCGCATCCCAAGTAGCCCTCCAAGATACGCGAATCGGTGTTCCAGGGTGTTCAGTGTGGATTGGCATGGGATCAAAGGCATGTGTCTCTCTGCAGCCTTTGAGACAACAGTCAGGCGTTGCACGAGCTAATCGGAATGATGTCCAACGCTTGCGACTCCGTGGACATTGGGACTGGAGGTGCGGTCCGGTTACAGGTCAAGAGAAGGCTTTTGGCAGCACATGGCTGCCTCTGATTCCCGTCCCGCAGGACCGGGTAACGTATCCGAGATGCAGAAACAGAAGATATCCAAACGAGCGCTTGTGCACGGCGTTTGTCTTAAGGGTTCGGGCGACGAGAGCTGCTTCACCGCAGCAACCCTCTTCAGACCTTGCAACCAGCATGTACTGAAATCGCTGTTAGAGAACATGATTAAGCCCCAGAGTCCTCGAACACACCCGGCCAGCAATGTACTGCACTCGAACATTACCCCCGCCCATATGATCATGCATCAGATAACTTCTCAGAAGCAGCAGACACGGGCCACGGGCGATATGTTTCGCAGGCCGAGTAGCCCGTCCCTCACTCTACGCTGGGAATTTCGAAGTCTGCCGACAAGCACTTGCTGGCATCCCCAGACCTTGAAGTTGCTGTCAATGCCACTGCCAGCTGCAGGTTCACGTCCAGAGCTCCAGAGACATAGCCCTCGACAGTGGAGAAGTCCCGCCCGCGCAGGCAAAGCAGACTTTGGTCGCTCTCTGTCAGGTGAAGCACGGTCTGTATGTGTGGTGCATCTTCACCCGCCTCATCCAGCCGAAGCTCCAGCATTAAGGATGTTAGACTTGCATCAGGCCGAATTTCAATCCGGAACTGCCTTCTTGCGAAGATGTCTTCTGCCTGCGCTGTGCAAAGATCGGTTCGTAGGAGAAAATAGGGCTCCACAGAAGCAATTCGATCTTCCTCTAGCCGCGCACGTAGCACCGCCACCGAACCTGCTCGTGGTGCACGCGGCGCCAAGTACGTCAGATTCAGGCCCAGCACATCATGGAGAGCCTTTTCCTCGTCCAGCTCCCTAGAAAAGTCACACGCCGACAGATGTATGGAAGCAGATCGTGGAAACATCCAGCCGCTCTGCTGTCCGTCTGCTGACCCTCGCGGCCCGGGTTTGAGCATCCCTTCAGCGCGGTGCAAGTATCTTTGCCTTGCAGCTAGCACCTGGAGTAAATTTGTCAGGGAGGGTCTCACAAGAAGGTGCTCGCAAAGCAGTCCGTCACAGGCAAGTCCGGTACTCATCGCGTGGCTCGCTTGGTTCTGAAGGTCACCCCGCAGCAGCTGGATTTGGGTGCCCTGTGCCAGGTTAGCTTCTGCCAAGGATTGTGCCAGCGCCAGGCTCTCCACAGAGGCATCGACCGCGACAGTTTGAGCACCGAGCTGGGCACACACCAGACCCAGGACGTTGGCACCACATCCGAAGTTCAGGACTTGTCTTCCCGCCACCAGCTCACGGCGAGGCGAAAGCCACTCCTGCAGAGCCTCTGCAGCAGTGCGCAAGGCTCGAGAGGCTTGCCAGGACAGGTCTGATGACGTCACAACGCGTGTGGCACCGTCGTCAGTAGAAGACATGAGTCGTCTAAGACTCTCAAGCTCTGCACGTATTCGATGAACCTCAGTTTCTGAGGTGCTCGCAGTCACAGGATTCTTTCCCCCCTTTCCCTTTTCGTGAGGTCCAGCAAGCGCTTGGGATTCTCCACTTTCGTTCTCGCTCTCCTCCACGGCATCGAACAAGAGCAGATCATCTGCTAAGACGGGCATCAGCAAATCCTCACGCTCCCAAATTGGTGACTCGGCCGTTAGCATTGCCATTGCCGAGGCCTCGTGGCAAGCAGTTTCGGGCCCCAGCTTCCGCAAGTAGTTCACAAGCCGGATTCGATGATAGTCGGACCACTCGTTCCTTCCCACCCGCCGGCGCAGCGCCTTCAGTGAGAAGCCGTGCGCAGACTCCGCGTGGGCCCAGCACAGCTCTGCGCTGGCAAAGGTCTCTGGGCCAAACGGAGACAAGACTTCCCCAGTGTCCTCACCATCTTGAAGCACCTCTGCTTCGGAACCAAAGAAGGATCCTGCATCGCTCTCTTGCTCCTCGCTTTCGTCGCTTTCGATCGTTTTCTTCTGCAAACTCGTCCCTGTCTGCTTTCCTTTCATGGCACGGGGTGTAGCTTTCACACCTGAACAGAATGCTCAGCTGGAGCCCGAGGTTCTGTACACTCGGCTACACCTGCGGAGCATGGATGCGCCTAGCACGACAAGTATGGCCAATGTTCGGGCGGTTCTGCATCCGAGGCCGCGGCCGAAGACATAACCAGGAGCCTGAGCAATTTGCAGCTGATACACCTTGGAACCTTCGCATTCGCGACTGCGCTGTCAACACGAAAGAACAAGTCCTCGACGCACTCGCGCCAAGGCGTCGATTCCCCAACTGGTCAACTGGCGCTGCGCGACTTAATGTCTACTACGGTCCGAGAAATGTGCATGTATGAACACTCGCTGTATGCCTCACTTCAGCTCCGCGTGTTGTATAGGTTGGCTGAAAGCTGCTATGATAAGGCATGGGGCATATGCGTGTTTTGCTGGGTGGTGCCATGAAGGATGGGAAAAGTTCAACCAGCTTGGATTTCAAAGCCATGAACCGGCTTTGACCTACCGCTCCCCCCTAGGACTTGGTGGCAGAGCAATGGAGCAGCCTGCCCTTGAGCCACGCGCGAGCAAGATGAAAGTGCAGTGATACCTCTAAGTGTCTCTTATCGTGATAGCACACCTCAAATCCGAACAGCCCATGCTGATGCTCACTGAGTCTTGAGGGTCTTCCCGAGCTTGGCCTTGCTGCATGCTGCATTGCTGCGCTGCAATGGCAGGCCTTCAGTCTTTGGACGGCGTCCTTGTCTGCCAAGGTGTTTCCACCCTTAGAGCCGGTCTGCCGCCACTAAGCACATCCAAGCATTGCTTTGAGGCCACCCGCACTGTTAGATACAGCAGATGCTGCGCTGTTCGCGCTCTAACTGCGGCCCAGACTTGCTGCATCGACAGCAGCGGTGAGGAGAAGAGCGCCAGACGCTCTGCAAAGTCAGGGGGGCATGTCTTTGCAAAACGTTGTTGAGAAAAGGCAATGTCGAATGGGTTTTGACGTTGGTGCTACGACACTCCGTGGAGTAGCCTGTCGCTACTGCAGTTTGGCACACCATAGCGACATTGCGAATATCGGATGGTTAACAATTGGACATGAGTGCGAGCAACTGCACATCTGAAAAGCAGGACGTCGAATGTCATGCATCCACTCCACCCGCCTGTTGCGGACGTCTCCACAAGGCGAGTGGCGAAAGGCAGCTGTGGCATCCTGGCATGTCAGCAACTATTGTGCTTCGGCTTCGTGACGCATTTGCTCCAGATGATCGGCTGTGCCTCGGCTCGTCTTCAGAAGACTCCGGCACTGGTATCCGCCAAGCCTGGACTTGCGTCGCATCCGACATCTGCTCAAATCTGACCAATGCCAAGCTCAGTGCGGATACAGGAAGTCGGATGGGCGGGTGCTCCTCGCCCCAACCTTAGGCGTTTATATCTGCTGTTGGCGGTGTGGTCTCCGGTCACTGCCACACTCAAGACTCTGTCCACTTGGTGCCCGGCTCTCAACAGGCACATTGGCATCGCAGGCCTGCGACCAATCCCCAGCTGAATCGAATCGCCACTTGGAGCAAAAGGTGTTAAGGCACCACCTTCAACGGCCTGACATTGCCTCCTCCACAGGCGGGGCGACTACTGGACTAGAGGACATGCCATTGATGGCGGCATCATGACGGTAGGGTACCGGTCCTGAAATCGGCTGGTCGTTTCGGGAATCCTCATAAATAATACGAGGAGAGCCATTGACAGCGCAAGTTAATGATGGCAGTCACTCCTTTTCCAAGCTGCTCGACTCATGCACACAATGACTCAAGGTGCAACTGCTGCATTCGGCTTAGCGGTGCAGTCCATGAAGTCAACAAAGTTCAATGACGACAGTCTGCATATAGGTTGCGAGCACAGGCTAAGAGATGCTGCTAGGAAAGCCTTCTGCGGGACGGTTCTGGATACCTGCACCTCTTACATCGACAGAAACGGTTCTGCAGTAGTTCGGTTGGATCGCATCACTTGTGATAAAAAGTCAGTGAAGAAACGAGCACTGAAACCGTAAGGCGCAGTGTGTGAGCAGCTGGTTGGCTACGGGGTGTCCACCACCCGTACGTGACGGGAGTCACTTGCTGACCTGTGCCGTATCCGGAGCCGATCTGTTTGTCGCTCAGGGCTCCCAGGCAGATTTGACGGAGGCTTACAGAACGAATTCGAGATGGGTTCAGCAGAGTTCTGCTTGGCATGACAGCCGTCATAATCACAGCTACCACCGGACGGTGCCATGACATGGTTCCAGCATCAAGGTCCTAGTCTATTCAGCGACCTAGACTCCCGATCACCCTGGCAGAACAAAGCTGGCCTGTCAGCAAGAACAGGCGAGGAACCCGCATGCTCTACGTGGTGAGACAACCTTTATTGAATTCCCGGCGAGACTGTTTCGCTCCCACGATCTACCTGGCTCACTGCCACTGTCTGCAAAAATTTGCATGTAGAAGCCACTAGAAGCTCCTTGCGTCTCATCCCGGCCTCGCGGTCAAACCCAGGCCTGGCCAGGCGCGTACCGCAGAGTCATTGCGACGTCGCATCACACGGATGTGCGCCTGCATGGGGTTGATGCCCGCAACGATATGCCTGCGACAGGTCACTTGCATTGGCAACCCCAACCTACTATGCCATCAAATTGGCTGGTCAATGCAAAACTGCAAAACTGCCATTCTAGCCTACGACGGTGTGGAACTGCAAGACACGCACCGGAAATGCCTGAGCACATCCCGCTCCAGAGTGCAGAGAGGAGGCACATCGACCTCGCTTGTAGTCTCGTGTCGGCGTGCTTCCATGCAGTGCATGCTTCAGGTGCGGCCCATGACTCAACTCCACCACAGCTGTCTAAACAAGCAACATTGACAATGTATGAACGGCGTCATTCAAGATCCAAACCCAGCTCTAAGCCAGGGACGCTTCTTGCATGGCGAGCAAGCGTGGGAAAGACCTCGCAGGATTTTCTCTGACTAGGGCGCCGTTGAAGCGGAAGGGTCTGGGGGCGTGCCTGGTCCTTCTCGTAGCCCGGCAGAAGCATCTCTTCGATGGGCCGGTCCGCAACATGCCTAAAGAGCGCAACTTTGCGAAGAGCTAAGATGGGCAAAGGCGAAGAGCGCCTGTTTGAGCAGCCCTGGGTCCGACACTGTCGAGGCAGCTGTTGCAAAGGCGCCGTGAGCTTCCCCGGCAGGCCAAGGAGAAGAACGGAGCCTCAAAATCCATTTACGACTGAACGCGGCAGTGCGGTACTGCAAGACAAGAACCCTGCTGCTGCACAGCATCACTCCAACCCTTGTCCAAAGCAAAAGCTTGCACCCTAGCTTCTGCCGCAGGAAACAACTACGCTTAGCGTCTTCGGGTCTGAGGGCCAGCCCTTCAAACTGAGCCATCTTCGATATCAGTGATTAGTGGCCAGCAGAACCCAGTCTAGATCTTGTGTTCGGCATTGTTGCCCGATGGCGCAAGCGCTCAGATCTGCAACGCCTTTTTCAGTCTTGCGGTGCCAGCGGTGAGACCCGAGCGAAGACCTGACAGGGTCAGCTTCAGCTACTTCTGCTACTTCGAGAAGTTTGCAGCCCAAGCCTCGCCGCTGAGATGCAGGGGGATCAAGTCGCTGCAGGCCTGCAGGCCTCAACAATCTTCAAGTAGTTCACGAGAGTCAGTGCTGCATTTTGGCGAGTATTTTCTGGCATGAGCTGTTGCCATGCCTGCATGGTACGAACAGCTCCAACACTGCAAAGCCAAGAAACTGCAGTCGCCACCGTTCTTTGCTTCACCCCAGGCCACTACAGAGCCTTCCGTGAGGCAATGACTCCGAAGTGAGCTTCAGAACTTTAAGTCCGTGTGCAACTTGCAGCAGAGTGCCGTCTCTCCGTAGGGCGGCGAAGGCGGACGACGCAGGGAAAATCTGCTCCACATCGTGCCTGCAGTGCCGATGGCCAATGATCAGAAGGGTCACAGTTGTGAAGCATACTGCCGAGCTGGTGCTACGGAGACTGCAAGGCTTCCTGCTGTCTAAGACGCAGCTCCGCGGCGGGGTCTCCACCGCGTGCTGCATCCTCGAGTACAGTGCCCTTCAACAGTACTTGGAAATGACCGCCCAGCACCTGCTTCCCGCAGCCACCATATGACAATATGGCCAAGAGTCACCCCAAGCTACGAGGGCACCGTCGACCGTGAGAGCGCAGAATGCTGCAGAAGTCGCGTAGACGTGGCGAATGCCTCAAGGGCCAACTTTTCCACAAACATCCAGGAAACCCCTCGCAACGGCCTTGGAGCTGATGCGTCACGGGCACAGAGTTCCCACCGCCTCAAAGGATGCCATGCTTACACAGAAGCCAAGATGTCTGCAGACCTCCGAGTGAGGACTCTAAAACAAACTCGAGAAAAGCTCGGCCTTTGGAATCGCCCCAAGCAATCACGTGGCCGTCTGCCCGCAGCGCCGCGAAAGCCGAGTCTGTCGCTGCCAGCTGGCGAAACGGACAAGGGCGGGCAGCGGAGCAAGCTTCGAAGATTCCGCTGGCTTTGTCTTCGTCATATTGCAATTCCGTGCGCATCTCGTGTGACTTGATGACAAAGCCCGGTGTTCTCATCTTGCGGCTTTACAGGCATGTTCTCTCGATGTCAGTGCTCTGATGGCAGCCTGCTTCACTTCGAAGAGCAGATGCTGGACAGATCTACAGTCTCCGCCTGCGGCAAAAACAGCTCATGCCGTACGGAAGCAGGAAGCTGGCCTGCGTCGGAACGGCCCCAAGCGACGACACTGCCATCATCTCCTGGACTGAGGGTCTGCTGCTACTGACTATGCTCGGGTGATGCGATGACTGCGAGAAGAATGCCGCTGTGAGTCGGACAGCTGCAAATGCTGAGCGAGTTGTGCAAATTTGCCGGATGCGGAGGAGATGCCTAGCAGCTTGGAGACACAGCGAACTGCCTCGTGCTTCCATGCTCGTACTTCGATCCGTTAGTCCACCTGTGCGGAACACTTTGACCCAGGGCGCCCCAGGTGATAACCTCGAAATGGGGCACAGCATGCACACGTCACACGTCCTTTCCCAATGCTGGCGATTCTTTTCTGTGATGCGTGCATGTTCACGCCAAGAAGAACACGTGCCGCTGGACACAATCCATAGCCATAGCTACAACATGCCCCAGTGAATGATTACTAATTTCGTGGGATCATGTCTTGTTGAGCTTTGGGAAGCGCAGAGGGGATGCGGAGAAGTAGCACGTCCATCTGCTCGCAGGGCAGCGCAAGCCGAATCCTGTTGAGGCTGCATCTGTACAAACTGCGAACTCGACAAGATCGACAGCACCCTCTATCCCCATGGCTCTAACATGTTTATCGCCCGCAGGAGTCCGTTGCGTACACACGGCGCACTTCACGGAGCTCTTGCTGTAGTTTTGTGCCTGACATGCGATCTTGCAGAGCAAATACGCGATAACCTGCCTGGCCGTTTTGTTTACAAGTGGTGGAAAGACGGCCGCTCGGTGCAGCGCCCTCAAATAATGCCGACGGTAGTAATTCAACCGAGATGCCGTCTCGGCCAGATGGCACATCACCCCATACAATCGGCTGACCATCCATCCTCACATCTTGGAGATTTTTGCACCGTGCATACCCGGCAGACACGATTGTCACAGTAGCCCAGGACAAGAGCATCTTGCATCGTGTGGTACCAAACACGGTCCTTTCTTCTCCTTGTGTGCCTTGTCCTACATCCTACACGGGGGGATGCATGTAAGTCAAGGCATAGCTGTGCCCAGGCAGTTCCAACTTCTGGAGCAGTGGATGCTTGAAGAGCATTGAAAAGCGCAAGGGTTCTGTCGTTGCTTGGACTTTGCTCGCTCAACTAGCCTCGAGCGGCCGAGCCTGCACATACTTAGCTGCTCTCAGGCTGGGCATACAGCACACTGCACACATCTGGCCGTGGCAAGTCTCCGAATAGCAGCGAAGCCATTGGCAAATCCGAAAAGCTGCCGGACGTCGGTGAGCTGCGCTCGCACCTACGAAGGCCAGGACCGGAAAGCTTTCCAGGAGTGAGAACAGACAAGGCGGAGGGCAGAGCTGCTGTCTCCACCAACACTTGCAGAGCCCCAGGTCACCACCCTACCTCGGGCAATGTTGAGCCAACCGTCGCATTCTGGCGCTGCCCTTTGCTGCCAGGCTGCCATCATCCCTCAAGGCAGCAAAGGCGAAGGTCGACGAGCAGATCTCCTCAGTCTTGCAATCCAATATGGGCAAACACGCTAAAAAGCCGAAGCTGCTTTATGACTGTTCAGTCCTTTACGTTCACAAGCTGGGATTGCACCATTGCACTGTTCCCTCCAGACCTTGGGGCAGCACGTAGCGCAAGGCACGTCTGAATTTCACAGGCACGCTGTTGAAGCTTGCCAAAGCGCTGGTCAATGCCCCAGGTGACGACACTTCCATCCTGGCGAGCATTGGCGTTGAACTGATTAAATTTCAGCTACTTCAACTATATTGCGTCCTTTCGCAATGCTGCGAAAGCACATGCAGAGGCATGCAGCCTTGGCTAAGCAGAAGCTCTCCCTGTGGGCACAACGGCAAGTGGAGCTACCTGTACTTTCAGAGGAGGCACTCTTTCACCTTGACCAGCTGCTTGTGCACGGCACTGCTGTTTCCACCGGTCCTGGGAGAACGTTGTGACAGCTTTTCGCCACGAACCTTCACCTGGGGAGTGCGACAGAACATATGCCAGGCCGCAACCGTTCAATATGTCCCCACGGGTAGTGTTTGCTTGCGTCGTGGCTTTCAGTGTTGCTTGTGTCTTTTTTGGTGTCGTTTGTGTCTTGCTTCCTCTCTTCTGGAAGCCCTGAAAAGTGTAAGCCCTTGGCTCCTAGAAGCCAATGGCCAAGTGTGCAAATCACTCTTTGCTTTCCAAGCGCACCAATCAAACACCCCGAACCTATCAGCAGAGGGTTAATAGGGGAGCCCTGTGGACAAGACCGCTGCGGGGTGCACTGTCCCAGCTAAACCCTACACTCTGCACACCCCTCAACCCTAAATCCCGCACGCCCTGGACTCGAAGCCCCCTAACCCCAACTCCCAGCCATCCTTGCCCCGCCTCAACTTTGACCTTGCATCGGGAACCCTAAACCACCAAACCATCCTGAACCGTAAACACTGGCTCCCCCCCGCCTTTAAACCCCAAATCCATACAATGTAAGCCCTTAACCCCCTTTGCCTTTGGCCTAATGCACCCCAAACCCTACAAACCATAAACCCTACAAAGCGAAACCAAACTCCAAAAAACCAAAACCCTAGATCATCTAAAACCCGAAACCCCCAAAATTTTGAAACCATTGAACCCCCAAACGCCTTCCCACACTCCATGCATCTGTCTGTGGGACCGCTCATAGGTCTTCCGCTGCCGTCCTGGCCCTCGCCCCCGCGCTTTTCTGGGTCACTTGTGATGCCCTGCGGTGCGCGCAGCCCGTCCATTCCAAAGGCTTTCCGGCTCCGAAAGCAAATTCACGTCCTCAACATACTGTAGGATTTGAGCAATGCATGATGCAGGGACGACAATCTTGGCCGATGATGTCGTCCACATCCCTGTAGGCAGAACTCAAATAGCAGGGAGAAGGGACACCACAAAGCACAAAAGATCCACTATGTAGAATGGTTTTCCAAAGCCTTCGGCCGAAGATGAAGCAGGTGCAGACGGTCGGAAAACTGCCCCACCTCCCCGAAGGTGCTTGCATTTGGCACACCCTTACCAAAACGAACTTGCATTATGGAAAAAGCGGAAGTTGAAAAGAAACTCCGACATGCACGAAATCATGAACAAGTCAGGTGAAAACCACCCAGAGGCACCTGCGAGCTCTGCTGCTTTCCCTCGCAGCTGGCCGGAGGCAAGTAAAGCCAAGCAAGCAACTGGAGCCTGCGCCGACTTTTTTCCAGACAAAAAGAAGAAGCGTTGCGGAGTAGCTGTCGCTCCTGCTGCACCCGAGCCCCGTCTGCAAGAAGCGCGAGAACCACGACTACTACTACCACTACCACTACCACCACTACTACTACTACGACGACGACTACTACCAAGTACTACAACGACGACTACTTCTACTACTACTACTACTACTACTAGTACTAGTACTAGTACTACTACTAGTACTACTACCACTACTACTACCACTACTACTACTACTACTACTACTACTACTATTACTACTACTACTACTACTACTACTACTACTACTACTACGACTACTACAAGTACTAGTACTAGTACTAGTACTAGTACTAGTACTAGCACTAATACTAGTACTAGTACTAGTACTAGTACTAGTACCACTACTAGTAGTAGTAGTACTACTACTACTACTACTACTACTACTACTTCTACTACTACTACTACTACTACTACTACTACTGCTACTTGTACTACTACTACTACCACTACTA